GGGGGTCATTAGAAGAAGCGTGGTGACGCGGCCCGCCGGTAAACAACATGTTCAGCCGTCGCGAACGTGCGGCAAAAAGAGCGTTGTGGGACATGATGTGCGGACAATCTAAAAATTATTTGGCGGAGCCAGACGGAGGAGACTCACCGGGACAGAGAGGTACTTTTCACTGCCGGTGCGTGGGTTTATCTCTAACGCGGGTAGTCTTTGTTCTGTCTCTTGTGACTAGTCTGGGTGTGCATCCTTCCGCACATGTGGCGAGAAAATCTTCTTCCTCTCAAAGGACGACGTTTCAAAAATATGCGGTTGATCATGTCCCACCATGCCTTCGTTTTGCCAGCCCGCAGTGTTCGAATGCAAGCAAGTTTGTTTACCAACCAGAAGAGGGACAGAACCTTCATGCTCGGTCGACCGTGCGGTGCCGTGCACGAGAGTGCAAGCAATTGGTGCTGAGATCCATCCCTGGGGTACGAGACTGGGACATCAAAAATCAAATCAGGCGTGCAATCAGGCGTGCCACACTCTGAACTACCACTCAGGACATGTGAGCACGTTTGAGTGGCATCTCGTTCTCCTTGTAGTCGGCTGCTTAGTCTAGACGGCGTAGTTGTCAGTAGCTGCTCTACGCGAATCGAACACACGACTCTGCTCACCCCTCTTTCAGGACAGCTCGTAGAGTGGCAATAGTTGTCCGCATCTGATCCGTCACCACGAAATATACCAGTCGGTACGGCTCCTGTCGCCACGGGCAGGGAAAGAACGGGCGACGCTTGACAGGAGGATGGCAAAGACAACCCAAACAGCCAGGTTGCGGCAGCGGTACTGAGCGCGGTGTTCCTCCCGCAAAGTCCGGTAGCGCGCGCAAAATAATTTTTGAAAGCAACACAGCGAGCACACAGCAGTACCCTACCAAATACATATTGCTTCGCCAACAGGACACATACCTCCATTCGCGGGGGAAGCTCTGCAGCGACCCCCGCTATCGCTGCCGTGTTCCTCACTAGCCTGGGCGTGTGTCCATAACGAACAACGAACTCCGAGAAGGGGGTGGTGAGCTCCTCCCCTTCCGCCGGCATGCGAAAGGCGTCCGTCGAGGAGGCACCACCGTCCATCTTTTAGTGACGCGGGTGTCGTTCAAAGAACTACTCTGGACGGCTGTGGTGACCACCGTCGACGAGAAGCACACAAAACACACACACACACAAGGGAGCAGCTGTAGACATCGCACCCACACCGCTCTCAAGGGGGGGACCGCTAGGGGGCTCCGTAAAATATACATTATCTAAGGCACCCCCCTCACACACTTCGGTCAGCTGTGTAGGATCCATATCTACTACGCATACCATCCATGGAGAGCTCTCCCACGCAGCTCAGCCTCTGGCTGACTGCTTTGCTTTGCATTTTGACCAGGTGTTGGTCATGGTCTCTCGATTTTGCCGCCCGTGGCCCATTGTCATCCATACGCCCACCCAACAAAGTAACAGCAGTATTGCCCCCCAGGTTTATCCGCCCACAGCTGGTGCCCTTTTGGATCCTGGAATCCGCTGCTGTGTACGGACGGTGCTGCCTGTGACAGCAGTTAGTTCTACTGAGCCCATAGATCAGCGCTCCGCCTTCCTGTTACAATCTCAGAGAGCGCCTCGCGCCACTCCAATGAGAAACTCGCCCGTTTTCAGAAGCCCGTTGTAAGCGACAGATCGGTATGGTCGGTAAGGTTCTTCGGCTCAAAACGGCGTTCCTACTCTCCCTCATGACGACGCTTGCTTGCTGGTTGGTGAATGCCGGCGCGAACCCCGAAGCCGCCGCTACCTGCTGTCGTCATGTTTGGCGAAGTGCCAGCACACCGCCTCACCAGGCTGCGGACAACGCGCACTCAAGTGCAGTGAAACCGCTGTGTGATACAAGCGCCCGGTCCAAGCAGCAAGCCGTTCCTACAAGAATAGGATCGATGAATAACTAGACTCTATGTAGTCTAGTCTGCTTGACAAATAAATATGCATCGGTTCTATGATGCAGCACAGGTACAGTAGAATAAAACAAGTAACGCGATGAGGAACGGGCGGACGGTCACAGTATGGGTGTGACGCGACTTCGTTCGCCCGAAAAACCAACCCGCTCTTCCGGAACGGTCTCACTTGCATCGCAGTACGTTTTCCGTGGGTTCGGGCAGAAGAAAACGGTGTGCCGATCATCAATTGATATGGGGCTAATCCTAATCGGTTCCTCAACCTCTACACACGACTGGACGAGCTAACAACCACCGTCGCGGAATTGGCGACCGACTTTACCAATACTCTCCTTGAAGCAGCGCAGACGACCCTAGGGGAGGAACCGCGGAGACGCCGCACGCAGGAGTGGTGTGAGACCCCAGAGACGAGAGCAGCGCTGCAGGAGGCCCTTACCAAGCGGCGGGACGCGCGCCGAGCGATGAGGGGCAATTGGAACCAAGCAACGTGGAGGGTTCTCGAAGCAGCGTGTAGGAGAGTGGCTACAGCAGTCGAAACGGGCATTTATGCCCACCTGGACGGATATGTGACTGAACTCGAGGCAATCTACAAAGAATGCGACATGCGAGGACTATGCCAACACCTCAAGAGATCAGTGGGCCTCAGCGGGAGACAAGCCGGGGGACAGCAGTTCGTCGCGGATGAGAACGGCGTATTGCTCCGGAACAAGGACGACATCCTCCAGCGGTGGGCGAGATTCTTCAGCACCCTACTCAACGCCAAATCTCCTACCCTGAACCTAGACATCATCGAACGAGTGACGCAGCGGCCAGCGAAACGTGACACTCAACAGTTAGGAGAGGTGCCAGAACTCGAGGAGGTGGAACGGGCAACAAAAGGCCTCAAGAACTGGAAGGCACCCGGCCATGACTCCCTCCCTGCCGAGTTGCTCAAGATCGATGACGACGAACCCTCGTCCTGGGGCACCTTCATACCATCTTCGTCAAGGTGTGGAACGGAGGAGATATTCCGCGAAAGCGGAAGGATGTAACCATCAAGGTGCTGTACAAGAAGTCTGACCGGTCCAACTGTAACAACTACAGGGGGATTTCGCTACTATCTCACGCAGGCAAGGTCCCAACCAAGATCATCGCCAACCGTCTAAGCACCTTCTGCGAAGCCAACAACATCCTCCCGGAGGAATAGTGCGGATTCGACCCGGGCGATCCACCGTCGACATGCTGTTCGTCGTGCGCCGCCTNCAGGCAAGGTCCCAACCAAGATCATCGCCAACCGTCTAAGCACCTTCTGCGAAGCCAACAACATCCTCCCGGAGGAATAGTGCGGATTCGACCCGGGCGATCCACCGTCGACATGCTGTTCGTCGTGCGCCGCCTCCAGGAGCTGGGGCGGAGAGAAGAAATACCGCTCTACATGTGCTTCGTCGACTTGAACAAGGCGTACAAGTCGGTGGACCGAGAGATGCTATGGAAGGTGCTGGCCAGGGCCGGGCTTCCCGCGAAGCTGATCAAAATCATCCGCCAATTCCACGATGGAATGCGGGCCCGGGTGCGCATGGACGACGGAGAACTATCGGACTGG